AAAGAAATCATTTTCAATTCTTAATGAGCCGATGGAAATGAAATTGGTGAGTTGATCAGATGTTATCAAAAATACCCTAATCAAACATCTCAGTCATCATTGTAAAAAAAAACTATCTGTAACATCATCATCATTATCATCATTATGAGTTGGCTTTCATTTAGAGTATTTATTAGTTTGCAAGTTCTTTTCTGAATATGTTCAATAATAATGTGATCAGGTGATAGCTAACATGATCATTATTATATTATTTTTTATAAGGTAGGATTATTATTCCTTGCTTAAAGTTTTGAAGTACCTTCCTTATCCAAAAGCACATGGTTGTGTTAATCCTTTGGGGAATATTCATCTGTATTTTTTCAAAAGGTCTGTTACTATGCCATCTCTGCCTGGTGCTTCTTCATGTTTCATCTTGTGAAGCCAAACATTATTTCTTCTGCTGTTACCTCAGGAACATTAGTCATATTTGCTGGAATACAGTTTTGCATAGTACAAAATGTCCTTATTTCTTGGTTAAAGTTTTGAAGTACTTTCCTTATCCAAAAGCACAGCGGAAAATAGTTGTTACCTTTGGTGAATATTCACCTGTATTTTTCAAAAGGTCTGTTACTATACCAACTTTGGCTGGTGCTTTTTCATGTTTCACCTCTTGAAGCCAAACATTATTTCTTCTGCTGTTACCTCAGGAACATCAATCATATTTGCTGGAATACAGTTTTGCACAGTAGACATCAGTTATTCATAATGTCTTTTGCTTACATTTGGCAACTTTCTCATTTCTGTGTTTCAATGCAAACAATTGATGTTTATCTATCTGGGTTGTTGATTTCTTTTCCTGAAGCTTCTATTCTTTTGAAGTTCATTTTTCCTCTTTTTTTTTACCAACAGTTTAATTCTACAGTTGCAAAATTTTATCTCTCTTCATATTTATGACCATATTGCTTCTCTTCTCTTTGAGTTATTTCCCAGTTTGAATTATTTCTCTTTTGAGTTATTTCCCTTTCTTGTCGCTATTTCCTTTTCGTTTTCTCTGTTATATCTGCTGATACTTTAATTATAGTTACCAATTTTCTATTCCTGTCTTTAGTTATTTTCATCATTCTGCCAAACCTGGATTCTATTCTTGATTTCTCCCTGAAATTCAGTGAAACTCGCTCTCTGACCTTATTAGGATAGATTTTCTTTTTGAGAATCATTTTATCTCAGTTTTAAGGTCAAATTTATCTACCACTTTCTTATTGCTTCCTATATTAACTCTGTTGATGATAGTTACATCCTTAACAGCATCTTCAGTAATTATAAAGTCAATTTCTTTTTTTAACGATTAAGGCTTTTCCATGTCTATATACAGCACTCTTGTAAAAAATGTATTCCTATTTGTCATTTTAGATCTCTGTGTGAAGTTAATAAATATTTTGTCTCTTTGATTTCTCTCCCAGATTTTCATGCACAAGATAATCCCTCCTTCCTTGCTGCTATTTTGCATTGAAGTCACCCATCAAAATTGTGCTGTTTGTTTTCTCTTTGTCATGTTACATTGTTGAAGTTGTAGGGTTGCTAACATTATACCAGCAGAAATAGCCTCATGCTCACAGGAATAAAAACTATACACAAAAATAACACTAAAGGCATGTTAAATGGTAAATTAAAATCATACAATTTATTTTTGTGTGTATTTTAGTTTCAAGTGTTTTAAGGTTGAATGTGATGAAAGGGAGAAGTCACTTCATATTATAACAAGCAATGTGCTGAGGTGAGGAGCTGGACATCTTGACCTCTAATGATCAATGGCAAAAGACTAAGGTTAGCATTTTTTGGTGCAAAGTCCGTTTTCAGGTAGGAAATATTTCTGTTGCATTCTAAGAGAACTTTTGTTATTTTGTTTTATTTAATTTATTTTAAACAAAGTTTCAATATTATTTGTTTTATTTTATTTTATTCATGATATTTATTATTATTTTATATTTTTTATTTATTAATAATAATAATAATGTCCCTTCAAACTCTTCAATTTTTCTATCTTCATATGTTTCAAATAACTGCATATACTTTAACTTTTTAACATATATCTTTTGAATAATGGGAATACTAGCTAAAGTTACTACTCACACCTATGTGTGTGTATGTTATACATACATATATATCTATATATAAATATAAAAATATTAAAGTGGATACTGAAGTCATCACCGAGTGGCGACAGTCTGTTTCATACTTCAACATAATCATCAGGCCATGTCTGTTATGTGTTGGCTCAACTATTTATATATGCTGGTCAATGAGGCATTATGGATAGCAACATCAGATATTTCCAGTTTATTGTATTATCTTAATGGTTGTTGGGTAGGCAGCAATGATTATATTTCAAATGATTCTAAAGGCTTTTGAGTAAAAATAGTTGTGGATCTGAATGCAATTATTTGTAGCCATTGTATAATGATGTTTGATAACTTTTGACTCATTATGTATTATTGATTACTTAAGAAATTTTGTATTTATAGATGAATTATTTGTTGTTATTATTATTAAATTTACGTATGTTTATGCATGTATTCATAGTTTGTTATTTTGTTTATTTGTTTATATATTTATTTGTTTATTTATTATTTATATTTTCATTTGTGGAGTTGGTTATCTTATTTGTTTTAGTTTACGTATTGACTTTGTTTAAAGAATGTTATATTATCTGTGTTGTATTTTCCTAGTTGATGCATTACAAGGTATTTGGTTTTAGTTTGGGATTTTTAAATAAAGTAGTAAAAATTTTGTTTATTATTATTTCATTTACTTGCATTTATTTGTGCATTCGTTGTTTGTTAGTCTTTTTATTGTTTACTTAATATGTTTGTTTACATTTTTTTGTTTACTTTGATTTTTTGTGGAGGTATTTTATTTGTTTAAAGTATGTTACATTATCTGTGTTGTATAAAGTGCATATACTTGCATTTTTCATAGTGGTATTTTACAAGGTATTTGTTTTTATTTTTCAATTTTTAAGACATACCCACACATAAATATAGTTTTAAAGTGTGCTATATTTATGGAATAAAGTGCTCAATATTAGAAATAGAAATAGTAAATATATATATATATATATATATATATATATAAATATATAATAATGGCTAGCCAATCCCTATTGCAGACGTTTGCTCAGGCACATTTGTGTCTGCTCAACACCCACACAACCCATCTGTGGTTTATACTGCAACTATGCTGAGAAAACCTTAGTTACAGTTTCTGGGAGAGAGTGTGTTATCTGGTGTGATCAACAGTTTGAACAAGACCAGCACATTCAAGTCCTCAGCCATGATGAATTGTCGCTTTGTGCTAGCACAGCTATCGATGGCTGCCAAGGGTTATGTCTACCCAATTTCACTCACAAGGCTTGGGTCAACCCATGGTATGTTTTTCAGGCACTTTCTAAAGGTGCTACATACTGGGTTCAACCTTGATCCATTCCGATAACACACACACACACACACATATATATACACACACACACACAAACAGACATATACAAGTTTCATTTAAAACTACTGACAAGTACTCTAATTAAGTCTTTTATTCAATTCTTCTTGTGTCCAAATGTTCTGTATGTCCAAGAACTTTCTGCTATTCTTTTAGCCATTATCAAAGATGATTTTATTTTTATTTTTAACTGAATGTATGGATTTTTTTATGTATGTATCTCAAGTTACAGGAATGTTTTATTTCACAAACACAGTGAGCACATTGTGGCTGGATTCATAGGAAATGTTATTATAGCTTTTTCTTTTGTTATTAATAATGCTTCCATTATTTTTAGCCTTTTTTACATGTGGCTATTATATTTGTATTGTCAATGAGTATGTTGCAGATGGAGGTTGGTAGGTCTCCATGTGTATTTAAATGAGGCCTAATTGAGCTATGGTCAGAGAGATATAATGTGAGTCTTCTTGTTAGGCATGTAGTAGTATATCCAATATAATTATTCCTGAATTTGGTTTGATCAAGAACACAGCTCCTTAAGGGACATGTGAATTCATAAATAATATTGGTTCTGTGTAATATTGGATTTGGAAGGTGAGTTATTGTTGTTGACAATAAGTTCAGCAGTTTTAAATTTTTTCTTGTAGATAATTAATTTAATTTTCTTGTTTTTATTTACTAGAGTTGTATATTTCTTTATAATTTTCTAAGGGAAGATTCAGCAAGTAAGTTTTTACTGGTTAAGATGGAAAAGCCTACCCACAACTAATCTTTGTTTCTTTTGCCCCTAGCTGACAGAAGGAATGTATTTTACTTGTAGATTAGAATCCTGATTTATCCTTCCAATGCTAGAGAGCTCAGTCTGCCCTACTGTGTTATTCGTGGCAGGAATTCATGCATTTCCCAGGAGTATCAGTATGAAATAACCACAAACTCTCTCAGCTAGAATCTCGACTTGGCTTGCCAACTCCATTGTCCAAGCTGGATCGCCTGTATTTCAAAACACACACACGCCTACACACACACACATACACCATCTACATTTAGATTAATTACATCATCATCATCATCATGTTTTTGTATTTTGCCATTATCTTTCTAAGCCTTGCCCAATGATTAACATTCATTGATCTCTTTTCCATTTTTCCACTTCTTCTTTGTTGCAAACCCCCCCTCACCTGATTCATAATTATCATCATGTAATTGCACAGGTTTCATGTAATCTTTACCACAATCAGAACAGCCATCACTGCAGACCTTCATCAAGCCTGCATCGTGCATTGTGTCCCACTGATATCACTAATTACATGACCCCAATTTATTATCAACAGGCATTAGACAAAAATCGAATGAAAAATGACGATATCTTAATGGCTTTTACATCGAGCATTAAAAGCTAACAGGTTTTTAAAAGAAAACATGCACATAAGTGTAATTTGATCAACTTGATGTTTATATTTGACTTATTTATATTAACCATTTTCTCAGTCTACTGTTGGAGTCAGGCTCCATCCCCAATGACTGCCGGCTTATGACCATATCATGTTGAAACACTGGTTCTTGTACATTCACCAAAGCAAAGCAACGTCAAGCCTGGCCAGTACCTAGATGGGTGACCGCTTGGGAATATCAGGTGTTGTAAGCTTTGATGTATAGGTGATGTAATGGATAATGGCTCAGAATTTGAAATCAGAGGGTCACGTTCAAGTTCCATTTGAGTTTCTTATATTTACTTCTCCCTCCCAAGCATTGGATTAATTAGTAAAACTTGTATCAATAAATCATTATTATCCTAATAAAATTCTTATAATATAAAAATATGTTTCTTTAGGTTAAAATAACCTGCCAAAGTGTAAAAAACAAATCAGTCAGTCAATCAAAATTAGAATATTTCTGCCACATATGGTCTGGTGCCCCTGCTATTTAACTTGAGCTCCTTGATAAGATCCAAAGAAGAATCAGCAATATTATTGGTCCTGATCGAGCAGCTTGGCTTCAGTCACTTTCCCACCACTGTAAAGTTCCCTCCTTGTGGCTTTTCTATAAATACTTTCATGGTAATTGTTTAGATGAGCTCTTCACTGTGGTACCTAGTGTTTTTGAATTTAAGTGCACCACTAGACTGGTGTTGAGATTTCATCAGTTAAACCAGCTTAGACGTTAGCCATAAATTCTATGCTAACAGTTTCTTCTATTGCACTTCTCACTTGTGGAACTCCCTTCCAGCTCCATCCTTTCCAACCAACTTGAATCTTCAAACATTCAAATACAATGTCAATTGCTATCTACTGTCTACCTGATAACTCTCTTCTCTTTCTGTTCATCATTAATGTTTCTGTTCCTAATTCTTCTACACCCTGTAACTTCTTGTGTTTTAGTAGCATTACTGCCTTGCTTGGGGTGATTCTTATTAAAAAATAAAGAACAATCAAAGCCAGTGTCTGCCAAATATGGGAATATTATTGTCATATTATCAGGTAATTTGAGATGTTCTTCTCCAAGACTTGTTTCCATGTCAAGGCTAAATACTCCTGTCTGCTCTACTATTTTAGAAATATTTGGCAGAAAATGAGATAGATTCATCATTTCCCAAGTGTATTAATGCAAAGTGAAGAGAATTTTAACTCTGTTTTGGTTTGGTTTGTTTTACGGCATATCAACCACAATGGGTTATTTAATGCTGACAAAATTTTTATTGGTGGTAATGTTTTTCTTCTAAAATCTATTTCTGGGAATATTTTTCCTTGAAGAAATCTATAGCTGGTCATATTTTTTCCAAAGAATATATAGCTGTTTGTATTGCTGGTATTTTTTTAAAAGTATTGCTGATAATAATTTTTCCTTCAAAAATTATTGCTGGTAATAATTTTTTTTATTACAAAGTATATCTGGTATTAAAACCTATTTTTACACAAACTTGGGTGTTAACTATTTGCCCATAGCTGGGACTCTAACAAGCGCTACCAACCCGGGTCAGGGTGAACCTGAGAACACCAGCAATTAAGACGTGGTTCCACACTCCTCAAAACCTCCTGATCAGAGGCCTTGCTGCTGGACGTAGTTTATCATCATACCCAGGACAGTCCGTTTTTGGGTCTTTATTTTATGTTCTTGAAGTTGTTAATATTTATCAAACATGAATAAATGATTAATAATTTCTGCCAAAATACATGTTATATCTTGTTTTGAAATTTCTATGTTAATGACAAAAACAGTGCTCAAGGTTAGGAATAGAGCTCATGTAAGTATAATCAGTATCGACATAGAAATCCACACTGCATGATCATGGCATACCTATGTGTGTATAGTGATTTTCCAAGCATAGCTTAGATGTGGCACAAGGCCGAAAGTATGGAGCACCCAGTGAGAAATGAACTCACTACTCAGTCATAATTGTTCTAGCGAGACAAGCTTGTTAACCATTACACAGCCTCGAGGTGCCTGACATGTGTGTATATGATGGACTCTATTGTTGATTTTGAGGGTTTGGTCTTTCACTTTAGAACTGAATGGCTAAACTACCCTCACAAATAATTGGATCAACAGATATTTACATTTAATTTATATATTAATAATTACGATTTTCTCAATCTGCTCTCAAACTCAGCTTATCCCCACCATCAGCCAGGGATGGGAAAAAAATTAGATATCAGTGTACCATGCTTACTCAGGACATGTTTGACAGGAAGTTTGAATTTAGAGTTTTTATTCTTAAGATTTGTCTAAAGAATCCAAAAGTTTATCCCTTGTTTCCTGTTCAGAGGTGCGTTTTTGGTTCCTTCCAAAGTCTACTTCAACTCTCTAATATCTCCACCTGAACTCTAAACTTATTATTATTTATTGTTTTTCTTTTCAATAGGAGTAGATAGATTTGCCTATCATCCGGTTCACACTCCAACTCAGTTTTGAACAGGAGTAGAGGATTATCCCTTATTTCCTGTTTACGATTGAATTTCCAGTTTCTTTTAAAGTCTATTTCAACTCTATACTTTTAATGTCTCCACCTGAACTTTGAAATTTTATTTACTAATTATTTTTTCTTCTCAATAGGTGTAAATAGGTTCACGTATTGTCCTGTTCACACTCCTCCTTGGTCTTGTGAACAAGAGTAGAGGTTTATCTCTTGTTCCTTGTTTAGGATTGCCTTTCTGGTTCCTTTTAGTTTTTTTGTTTTTTAATCAATTCACCCCAAGCTAGGCAATAATGCTACTAAGACACAAAGGACTACTGGGAGTGAAAGAGAATGAGAAAACTTCAGAAAGATTTAGAAACCCAATCCTAAACAGGAAACAAGGGATAAACCTCTACTCCTGTTCCAAAGACTGGGAAGGAGTGTGAACCTGAAGGTGAACATACCTACTCCTAAAGTCTTTGCATTCTCTTTTACTCCTCGTAGTGTCTTAGTGATATTATTGCCTTTCTTGGGTGGGATTAATTAAAAAAGAAAGAAGGAAGCCAGAAATTCCATGATGCATCTCTGCAATATAGGACAAAGGAATTCATATATTTTCAGGAGAAACAAAGAAAATAATATTATTTCCTTTAAAGAACTGTGCTAACTTTATTTATCTCTTCTTGACTATTTGACAGTAGTTTTCCTCTTACTATGAAATTGAAAAAAATTATCTTACCTGGACTCATCAGAAAGAAAAAAAAAATGGTTGTGAAAAGTTGATGAATGGAAAGATGAAAGAATTTGTATTCTAAGAGCAAAACTAATACTACCAGTACCAGCAATAATTCCAAGACTCTTTCTTTTGTTCTGATTACTAACAAGAATAGTACAGTCTTAAATTACTAAAAGTACCGTATGTGATATTATCAAGACAGAATATTTTCAGGAAGTTGAAACAATAACAGCAAAAATATTGATTGATTTAAGAAATAAAAAAAAAATATTCTGAAACAAAAGAAACATTAATTTGGGAAATGATTTTGTTCCCAATACAATATTTGAAATGTACTTTGTCATCATTAGAGAACAGTGAACGTCTGATAAATTAAGGATAGACCCCCAGGGCTAGGGATTTCTCAACCTAGATAGGCATTGTTAATTCTGTATTTTCTTTTTCTAAACTTAAGGGATTCAAAATTTTAGATCATTTAGAAACACAGCCCCAGGATTTTTTTTTATTATTATCAATTCCTGAACTTGAATTATTTTTCTGTAGAAGTTCCAGTTGGCATCTAATTGAGTTAGGGAAGGTAAAATTGGGTCTGATAATTGGGCCAAACATATGGATAAGGTTTTTCTTTTATTCTTTGAACTGCCAAAGTTAAGTAGATTTAACCAGGCAAGAATGAAACATTTATTTTAATGGCAAAAATAAAATTGTGTCATTCAGGTATCTCAAAGTTATTTTTGTCTTTTACAGAAGTTTACTCCAAAACTTATTTTTTTATCTTAAAATTACCTTTGGCTCCACTGTATTGTTCATATTATTATTACAGTGTATCAAAAGCATTTTCATTTTCTTGCAGACCTTTTTTTCAAAGCTTATTTCATGTATACATATAAAAGCCATCTACACCATTGTTATATAATGAGGCATGGCAAAGTTATTACTTTTTACAGACCTTTACTCCAAGGTTTATTTCATGCACACAACTCATAAGCAGTGCCTATTATTGTTGTTGTTGTTATTATTATTATTTTCTTTGATTTCTGGCGTTTACACATTTCTTTCCGGGTCCCGCCCAGTGACTTAAGGTTAGAAATGGCATCATGACACTTTCCACTGACAAAAAAAAAAAAATTACATAGATAAAGCCCTTCGTAAGTGTGGGCTATACTTGTCAGAACAATTTTTTGTATCTCCTTGAGGCATGGACTTTCAGGAATCCCTTCAATTAGTCTACTGCAATCTTTTCCAACCAGTCCTAGGGCTCCAACTACAACAGAGATTGTTGATGTTCCCATATGCCACATTTTCGAGATTTCTATTTCAAGGTCCTTGTATTTTGACAGCTTTTTGAATATCTTCAAAGATACATTGCAGTCGGCAGGGACTGCCATATCAATAAGGAGGCACCGTTTTTGTTTGTGGTCTTTAATAACAATATCTGGGAGGTTGGCTTTGATTGTTCTGTCAGTGTGTATTGTGTAATCCCATAGAATTGTAACAGGTCCGATCTCCGTAACCGGGTTTGGGTGGTGTTCATACCAGTTTCTTTCCTGTAGAAGTTGCAGATTTTCCAGTGCAGATATTGGCCCACTCTGTCATGCCAGGTTTTATATTCAGTGGTTGCCAACATCGTGCAACCTGATACAAGATGATCAATCGTTTCTGGATATTTATCACATAATCTGCATTTTGGGCTGACCAATATTTTAGTATATGTGCTTGATAATTCCTAGTTAGCAAGCATTGGTCCTGTGCAGCAAGGATAAAACCTTCAGTTTCAGCTTTCAACCCTGCACTACGTAACCACTGATGGGTACAAGTTTTGTCTACATCAGCTTGTTTGGTATGGGCAGAGTATTGGCCATGAAGCGGTTTATCTTGCCATCACTTTTGTATCTGGTTGGTTGCATTCGTCTTTGCTGTCTTTTTTAAGTATTTTGCAGTTTCAGCCAGTGTATTGTGCTGTAGTTGAATCTCTATGCCCATTTGAAACTCCATTTTGAATTTGTTGGCTTCTT